CATCCATTTTATTTGCCAATATGCTAAAATAATGGTTAATCAGTCCTAGTAGATAATATTCTTCTAGCCAACTTCTCCTTTATTATCTTAATTCCTGATTACGATGACTAAACTATGCAAGACGCAGGCTGTTTAATATTATACATTTAATAACCCATACTTTCCCTCGATACTTATTTTTTGAAAAGGAATTTAAAAGAGAATCCTTTTTACTGCTTTTCATATGGATAGTTTAATCTAATTTGGTTATTTTATGCTATTTACTCGCTAAACTTATGGACAAAGTCGATTTCTAACACATATTATCATTAAAGGCAAAACAAGTACAGTATATCGCTAAAGTTTTCTAAATTATTATTAAATCCTTAGCTATATTCTTCAAAATCAATAGGGGATGATTTAATATTAATCCTAAAACCTTTTTATTCTCACCAAAAATAGTTTGGGTACATTGACTTTATATTATAACTTAGAATCAACTATCCCATGTATATTTTCTTGTCATCGACTAAACTAACAATAAATACGAATTTTTTTAATTTAAAATTCTAGTTTTCTAAAATTTGCTTTATTTAATTAAAAATGAATCGGTATATTTAATGAATCATGCGCACACATACTTCTCTTTGACAAGCTCGTAGCTTGGTGCGGAGAATAGAAACACTCAATAATGATGCCCACTACGATGCCGAGAAAACGTATAGTAATGTACTAGGTCTACAGTCTAATGCTGGGAATTATGATAACTTTTATGACAGGACTTTGGATAAGGTGTGCTCTACTAAGTCGCCCTGACAATAAGACCAAATTGCGACAACGAGGTGAAACCACTTCTGTACATTTTTCAGCTAACTTAGAAAATTATGCAAATATCAACACAAATTTCAAGGAATAGTTAGTTTTCCTCTTTAATTTTGCCAACTACTATATATATATATATAGAGTAAAAGGACGTCTAGTTCAGAGGCAAGATTTTATCTCTAATTTATTAGCTCGATATATGGACGACTACGCTACAGTTTGATAATATGAAAAATAAATCCCTTACAAACGACTAAAGTTAATGAATTAAAAAATGTATTTTACCTTCTATGGATATCTGTATCGTCCGCTATTAAATGAGTATAGCATATACCATCCTTTTAAATCAGTAGACATACTTTAAAAATTGCTAACTTAATAAAAAGTTCAATGTAAATTAAAATAAATAAATTTTTTTGAGTTTAATTTTTTCTAATTAACCCTTATTATCTTAAGAAGTATTTATTAAGAACATGTTGTTTGGACCAACACTTTTAGTTGCTATTAGCTCCTAAACATTTGCAATTTTTGAAACATGAGCGAGATCGCCAAATTTATTACTCAAAAGTTAAACGAAGAGCCTTTTAAAAAGAATCTTAACTTAATAAGCTTTGATTCTCTTGATTCAGTTCAGCTGTTGCAAACTCTGAATGATGTTCTAGCAGAAATAGACAAAAAGGTAAACATAACGGACGCTATATACATGTGAAATTCAAGCACAAAATTGATATACGGGAGGAATCTTCAGATATGACTGCTTTAAGAATGATTGAAGCATTAAGAATCTTTCGATATAAACCACCGGCTACAGCGGATGAATTGTAAATACAATACCTTATGGACTAACGTTTTAATAAAAGAAGTTCATTTAGACAAGGAATAGTAATGGGTGACAAACGAACCATATATCCTATTTTAGAATGGTGTCTAAAAAGAATTCCTGAACTAAAGAGACGAGCTTATCTTGCTTGCTTTATGGTTAAAATTAATGTACCAACAGATTTCATGCAGGATGAAGAGATCAGCACTCTCTACCGACAAGTATTTTTAAAAATTAAATTCAACTTTCTAGTAC